ACTACTTGACCAGCACGGACAAAGCCCTGGGATCTGTGCCCAGCACTGCAAAAGATGAAACAAAAGCATGGAAGTGAAAGGTAATTTCACCCCTTTTTCATATGTTTTTTTATTTTTATTTTTTTGAGCAGAATATATTTATTGAGGGAGAGAAAGCTCCTGTCCAAGCAAGGGACAGGAGGGGGGCCAGAGCAAGTATTTCCCTGGCTTATGTGGTTTTCCAGTGTTCCACTGTGGAACATGTATTGTTTTGTAATAGATTAATTTACACAAAAAATGGGACCAACTAGCCCCAGCTTCAGAGATTACTCTTCATTTCTTTGGATTTTATTCTCTTTAGCCTTTTGGCCCTTGCATATCAGCTTTTAGCAAAACTTTTTTTGTTTTGTTTTGTTTGATGTTTTGAGACAGGGTCTTGCCTTGTAGTCCAGGCTGGCCTTGAACTCAATGTGTAGCCTAAGTTCTCCTCAAACTCATGACAACCCTTGTGCCTCTACCTCCCAAATGCTGGGATTATAAGCATATGCCACCACGTCTAGCTTTCAGATTTTTCATGGGTTTTGAAAAAAAAAAAGTGTTTTTAAGATAATGAGATTTCTAAAAATATCTCTCAGCTATTCTACTTGTGTTTGTGTCAGTGATTAAGTAATTCCTTGCTTCTTTTTGAAATGCACCTTTGAATTTGCCTGGAATTATCCATGGCTCACATCACAGAAACTGATGTGAAGTTTCAGAAGTCAGTCAATGTAGAGATGGTTCATTCTAGTCCAAGTAGGGCCATTCCCAGGAGTCTGGATGCTGGGGCCTGCCTCTGCAGGTGGACTTGCAAGGTCAATAAGAGTTAACCACCCCAGGTACAACAGTGTCCTCAGCCCCTGCCACCTCCAGTGATGTCTGATCCTCCATGGTGAAATGGTCTCCAGAGAGTTCATAGTGGAATATAACAAAAAGAATAGTGATAGTAGTACCAGTTGTATTAGTGGTATGGAGTGTTAGTCCTCTCTTTGTTAAATGCTTGAGGCATATTTGTTTTGTGGGTCGTTCTGGAGGTTCAAAGACCAGTTCAGTTTATTCAAAATACAACTGGAACGGATAAAATTCATTCTAAAAGGAAGTGTATATCCAAATGTAAGGCCCCCAGTATTGAAATGGGGCTGGAGGTCAGCTGAGCTGTGGCCAACTCTCCCACTGTCACTGAAAGCAGGTGGACATAGGATGGCTATGGGAACCTGATGGAAGGCAAACATAGGACACCTAAAGGGACCTGAAGACAGGCAGACACAGGATGCCTACAGGGTCCTGTTAAGCCCTTCCCTGAACCCTCTCTTCACCATTGCTGGAACTCAGCTGAGACGTGGCTCTCCTGCCTGTAGTTGGAGCTTTGGTGAGCCCTTCCCTGCCCTCCCACTGTCATGGGAGCTTTGCTCCCCAGTACTCCACCCCTTTACCATCACTGTTGAGTCCAGGTGAACATTGAGAGATTAAAAAAAGAGTCAAAACAGGATCAAAAGACAATCTCAGACATCCAGCCCACCAAGAATAAGTCCAGAAGTCAAGGTCATAGGAGAATTTGAAATTCACACACCTGAAATTTCTGAAATGATAGCAACTGAAGTAAAGAAACAACTTCATCAGACTATAAAAGAAATCAGGTTACAAATAATCTCTCAGGTAAAAAGAGAAATGACAACAATCATGAAAGAATTGCTCAGCACATCTAAAGAAGACAGATAAATAGAGGGGAATAGGAAAATGATGAAAACATGAAATGAACAATACATAAAAGAACTAGAATGCATGAAACACATTCAAACAGATATCCAGTCAATAACAAATTCCACTGAAAGCTGGCAGAACCACTTGAATGAGACTGAAGATAGAATTTCAGACCTTGAAGAGAGCATTGCATCTAGTGAATCTGAAAGAAAAGATCTCTTAAAAATAACAAGGAACCAGGTGTCTTAGTTACTTTTTACTTGTTGCTGGGACAAATAACCCACACTTAAAATGAAGGAAGGAAAGGTTTATTAGCTCACAGTTACTGGAGGGTTCAGTCCATATTCCACTGGCTGCAAGGCAAACAACAGCAGTTCATGCAGCAGAAAACAGTGAAGAGCAGAGGAGGAGCAGCAGCTGCAGCGGCCTCCATCAAGCCTCTCTCTTCCTTCTGCCCTGACTCGAAGAAGACCAGTGCTCCACAGTGAAGTTCAGAGCTCCTCCAAAGTGGGCCGACCACAAAGACCAAGCTCCTCTGTAGACTGATCTTCACGGAAGTAGGGCAGGGCAGCAGGAAACCAGGCAAGGCAGCTTCCTGCCCACCTGCAGGGCGAGACACCCATGCTGAGAACTGCTGGAGCTGCTTCAGCCAAGTTGACACAATGTATCACCTAACACAATCCACCCCTTGTCAACTTGGC